CTGGCCCTTAAGCAGAATATATTTTTGTTAGGGGAATTTACATGTCTTTTTTACATCAAATAGGTATATAAAAATATTTGTAAATATTTTATAAATAGGCTTAGATTTTTTTTTATCAATATTGTAGTAACATAATATACATATAATCATTCTCCTAAAATGTGGATATACGACTGTTCAAATATTGACAAAGTAGGTCGAACGTACGAGATAAAAATCTTTAAAAAGTTAATAAAAAAAAAAAGAAATTATTTCCACCTAAATATAATAAAATCTCGATAAATATAAACATTTTTCGATTTTTTATCACATGTTCATCAATTGACCAACAATTTATATGTCAATAAGTTGTCAAAAACACCCCATTAATGTGACCGCCTATAAAATATATATGAAGTGTATAATTTATTTGTTTATATTTTTAGTGATGTTAGCAGAAACATACTTAATATTTTATAATTAAAACAATAGCTTTTTTTATAAAACTATTAATGAATTTTTTTTTTCTTTTGGTTTTAAGAGATATTACGAACAACTTATTATCTATTTTATAATTAAATATTTTTATTTCAATAATAATTTCTTTTTTTTTATTAAAACTTTAAATAGTCTATTAGTCAATCATTCATATGTACTGAATTATATGCAAATCATAAATACAAACTTTTTCGGGTGGCGGGGATAGTGAGGACTTATTTAAATAGCAAAGCGCTTCAAAATAATGACTGATTTTATAATATTATTTGAACAATTAAACCAACTATGTCAGTCCGAAAATAATGACAGTTTGATTATTGGAAAAGAGTTAGCCACAGTAAGCATGCCTTAGCCCATTATAAAGACCATTATGTATTGTCTTTGCCGCACCATACAAATTGACCTCCTTCCCGACGTACTCGCACTCATGTAAACAGACAACAAATGTTGCACATTTGGTGCTCAATAACAGGTGACTATGGTATCTCAGCGGCAAACAAAGAAGGAATACACGCAGACTAAACTGTAAGGGAATCGTATGGGGGAATAGTGAAAACAAATAGCTAATAACAACTGTGGATTATGACAAAAAAAAACAAAAAAAAAAAACAAATATATATATATAAATGTAATATAGTATGAGTTTAGTGAGTACAAATTCCGTTTCCGGACGAAATGTCCATTAAATAAAAGCGAACCGCTTTAGTGCCATATTGACACTGCATCGATTATGGTTCTTTGTATACAAAAATGTGAAAGAAATGAAGTGGTTTCGTAAAAAATGAACTCTGCAGTGTTATTAAATGTGGTTTTAATAATAATGGCAAATTAAAAAAAAAATCAAAAAAAAAATGCACAAATTTACAATTTAATTGTTTTTTTTTAAAACAAAATGAAATATAAAAAAAGTATCTGAAATCAGCAAAAATAAAAGAATAATATATAAAATGTTTCTTAAAAAAGTTAACAGGCAGAAGTATCCGTAACTTCAGTGGTACCGATATAATCGATACAATCAATTTTTTTTTTCGCATCCAGAAAATAGGCAATATGGCACCGCCAAAAAAATTGTCAAAATATCTAATGACAGTACGGGAGGCTTCACACAAGCACAAAACCAAAAATGCAGGCGCTAAATGCATATGTAAGTCAGTGTGTTTTGCCTATGTGTGTGTCTGTATCTATGTTAACATGTATGACTATGTGTGCTCATGTGTATTCATGCGTGTTTTAAAAGCGCAAATCTATATACTTTATGTTACAGGCCACGTGTGGCCCATGACGTTTCTTGATATTAAAGGCTTTTCCACGCATTGAAAATGCGGTAACATTGCGTTCGAATAATAAGTGAAAAAAAAAAATTAAATAAAACAATTCACCAATTGCTTTTGCAAATACAGAAAAAAAAATAAATAACCGTGTTATTTAATTCAATTATGTTCAGTTTATCACAAGTATTTTCCACTGTACTGGCTTTCCTACTCTCCAGGGGACTATTAAATTGTTTATTTACTTAAATTTTTTTTATTTTAATTTTTTTTTTGCAATTTATTTGATGTTTTCTTATTTGCTTCCACTATATATATTTGACATATATACTCTCTTAACGCATTTTTAAAATTGTTATTTGCTTTTCACTCAATTCAAAGATAATCGATAAATTATCGCTTAAAAAGTTTTGCTACAATGTACACACCTAGACATGTGTGGTCTACCCATTGTGTGGTTTGGCAGAAGAATAGTAGCACCTGTGATAGCATTAATTTCAAATAAATAAAGCGATTAAATTTATCAATAATTAATGTTGTTTGTTTATATTAAATTTGTTTACTTTAAATTATATTTTAGTTTAATGTATTTGCTTTGAGTTTTGATATATATTGTTGAACGAGCCACAACGTTTTAAATTAGTCCTAAAAAATATATTTTATTGTTATCGAGATTTCGACTTTCAGTACTCTACACGGTACTGATTCCTATACATATAGGATATATATTGTTGAACGAGCCACAACGTTTTAAATTAGTCCTAAAAAATATATTTTATTGTTATCGAGATTTCGACTTTCAGTACTCTACACGGTACTGATTCCTATACATATAGGATATATATTGTTGAACGAGCCACAACGTTTTAAATTAGTCTTAAAAAATTTATTTTATTGTAATTGATATTTCAACTATAGTCTGCAGTTCTCTTCACAGAACTGATTCCTATACACCAGCGACTGGAAAGACTTACAATTCGTCTGGCACTATGGAATCCATTTCTATTTATATTATAGTTTACAGTCCTCTTTAGAATACTGATTTTTATATTATGTTAAATAACATTCTAGTTTTTAAATTATTCTAAAAAAATAAATTTTATTTTTACCGATATTTTAGTTATAGTGTATAATCCTTTTCAGAGTACTGATTCCTATACACCAGTGATCTGAAAGACTAAGAACTGTAATTGAATTCGTAATATGGACTCGGTCCGTGATGATAAATTTGTCTGGAACCTGGAATTTCGGGACTTTTAGACTTACTTAATTTATCGGAATGCTATGCATGTCGTGAAAGTAGCTATAGAAAGTGGAGATATTTGTGGCTCTTCATGATGCTGTGGCAAACAAAAACTTCTAGCTACAAAGTGGTGACTATAAAAGTGTCGTCTGGGAGACCAACTTATTTGCATTTTTATACCCTTCAATATATTTGACCAGAATCCTATGGAGTCGTGATATGCTCGAGTCAATTTAGCCAACTGATTTTTAAATTATTATTTTTTTTAATAGTACTGATTTCGGAAACTATCAATAGAAACGCCAAGTTGACGATTTTTAATATCTATGATTGAAACCCTCGTAGTGTTTGTGAGTCAATTTTATTTAGTTTCTGATCAAGATTCTGTAACTAGCTCTGATTAAGTGGTTTTAGATTTAAATGATTTTAGTGCTAATTGGAAGTTAATTAAAATGCTTGCTTACTTATCTCCCAATAAAGTTTTTAAGCGGTATAGGCGCTTCAAAAATGTTCGTCAAGACATAAATACTAATTCGCAAATGGTTTAACCAAAATATCTGTATACCTTAGATTCTATTAAAACCAATCGTAAATGCATCAAAGTTCACCCAAAGTAATTCTAACAAATTTGAATTGATATTCTTGAGATCCTTAAGAAATTGGGATTAGTTAAAATAATTCATAAGCTTACTAACGATCAAAAGTTGGTCTCATTCGAAAATTTTTTGCAGATTTAATATAACTGAATTATGAGCAATCAATTGCTCCCATGAACCATGAAGTTGAATATAAGACTTTAATTGGCATTGACTTCGCATTCTTAGTAGATTTGATTTGCGAATATTACGCTTTCGAGAAATGCATTTCTCGAGTATTAGAATCTCTTTTGCGAGATGACTTCTATTTCTTTTGTGAGTTTAGATTAGTACTACTGTGTTTTTGAGAGGTATTACTATTAAAGCAGTTACTCTGCTTCTTTGTGTCAAAATCTCATAAAATTTTGATAGTATATCGTTGTCGGTAGATTATCTAACTGTACATATCAATTTTTAAGAAGACTTCGGAATGACTTTGGAATGTTTCAGGTATAATAGCATTGCTTTACAAGACAAACAACTTTACATACACTTAATGTTAATTTAACTCGAAAATTATATTAAAAATTTTTTTTATTAATAGGTTTTCGATATATGAGACTTTGAACGTCGAAAATTATATTAAAAAATTTTTTTTATCGATAGGTTTTCGGTATATGATACTTTGAACATTTTTTTTTGCATATTTTTGTTCGTAATTTAAAATGTTGTAGTATATCTCGAGTTATAAACGTTCAATTGTGTCTAACAAAATAATAAATTTAGGTTAAGTCTGCCCAAGTCTCCAATAATCGTTCCATACATTGTTTGATCCAATTGACTCAAAATATAATCTCATATTTTCAATCTATATTTTAAATAAAAAAGTTGCTATAGTATTTAAATCAATTTAATAAGAAAAATGTAAGCAACATCTGAATAACAAAATAAATCTTATTTTATCTAAATTTTAAGTAAAAGAAATTTGTTCAAAAGATACTTTCGCATGTATCCTCTTCTGATTTTAGTCTCATTTATACAACTTTTGAATGCTTAGATATGCTTGCATTAGCGTAATATTTTAATCTAGATATTTTAATTTAGATATGAATAAAAAAAATTATTCGTAAAAGGAATTCAAAAAATAAAGAATACATTATTAATTTGGAATCATTATTTTTTTCCACTAAATCATATTAAAAAATCAAACAAAATATTTTTTAACTCTCGCATGTTAGTTGAATGAACTGCCATTCGCATGAAATATTTAAACTTTTAAATGATTTCTTTTTTCTCAATTAATTAATGCAGAATTGCTGATAAATATTTGCGAAATATCTTTCAGATTTCGTTAAGAAATGCTTTGATTAAATTAATTAGTGCTTAGATAACGAAATTCAATTTATCAAGCAATTAATTAAATAATTTAATTTACAGACAGCAAAACATCACAAACGGACGAGGAGAAGCAACGTGACCGGCAGCGCAACGAACGCGAAGCCAAAAAAGAAGAACAGGACGCAATTAATTACAAGGTAAGTAAAGTATATATAAAAATAAATTTCAAAAAAAAAAAATTAAAAAGTACTTTAAAAAGAATTCCCAATAATTAAATTGCATAGAATTTTATTTAAAATTTATGACTTCTTACAATTCTGATTTAACTTCTTTGGTTGTTTGGTTGGTGCAGCGCGACAAGGAGGCACGTGAGGCACGTTTGTTAGATTTTGAAATCAGACGGCAACAGGAACGTGAAAAGAAAAAAGAAGAACACAAACAGCAACATCATCAGCAACAACAGCAACAACAGCAACAGCAACAACAGCAGCAACAGCAACTACAAAAACAAGCACAAAGTGAGAAGAGCCCGCCAACAACTTCTGCATATTCACAGCTGCAACAACAACAGCTGCAACAGCAACAACAACAGCTGCAGTTACAGCAACAGTTACAGCTACAACAACAACAACAACAGCAGCAGCAGCAGCAACAGCAACAGCAGCCTGGTGTGAGTGGTATCAGTATTAGTGGGCCAGCACTAATACAACACACGCCACCGGATCGTTCCCTGCCACCAGCATTTCGTAGTCGTTCCATTGAACGCGAGTTACTGCACGAACGGAAACGGTTTTCGGCACCGGAAACAGCTGAATTTCGGGTAAAAAATTTTAAAATTACCAAAAATATTTCGTGCAATTTTTTTTATTTAGTAATTTATTTAAGTTTTCTAATAGTTTTGCAAGGATTACATTTCTAAAACTCCGTTTGTATATTTTTTATTTTATTTTGTATTGCATACTTCTAGGAGAAGCTAAGCACGACACCATCACCGCAAACTATTACTGGACCGCCGCCTCCAACACATTCGGTGGTGGCGGGCCCACCGGCAACAGCAGCAGCTGCTACAGCTGCAATAATACCAATTTTACCATTAGGAGTTGCCACACTACGTGATGACTCCACCGAGTCTGAGCAATCCGTGACATGCTCACAGGCCCAGCCAGATGCGTATCATCGTATAATGTAAGTACCGAAAATGTTTATTATTTTTTGAATATACGAAAATTTTGTTTTTGCTTCCTCTTCTTTGTATCTTTCACAATGAAAATCTGTGTTGAAAATTTTTCACAGGGTGGGTGTGTAGAATGACAGACCATTCTATTAACTATAATTGCAAAAAGTTTTTTATGTCAATTTTTTTTTTTGTTTTTTTTGTACTTTATTTATCCGTTCCACTTGCAGTTATTGCATTTTAAATGCAATTAGCTGTGCTGTTCTTACCAGAGGCATCTGAAAGTGGTTAAGTTTTGTGTTGATTGCATGCTACATGCTTCGTTTAATATTGTAAAATTGTTTGATGGACGGACGCATGCAACTATGCGTTCCCAGATAGGAGTAGTTTTAGTAATATTTTGAGTGCAGAAAAATCTAATTTCAATTTGTATCATTTTGTGGAGACTTGGTGAACAAAGGCGTGCTTACTAACGTAAGTGATTTGTTTTAAAATAGTAACAGGATATTAATATTTTTTTTTTGCACTTTTATCTAATAAAAGTACTCTCATTCTGCTGTTAAATATTACATCCTTATTTTTATTGATTTCATAAAAAGTCTCTTTTGCATATTTAAAACCATAGATATTATATGCTTATAACGTTAATCCACGTTAATCAATTAACGCTTAAAAAATCGTTCATTGAGATACATGGATAGTTGGCCTACCATGATGGGTTGCTACTGCAACCAATCAATCAACCAAATAATCCATATTTGTAAAGTTTAAAAACTCATTTTGTATATAATAACATTTCAGCTAAATCGCAGTTAAAAGGGTTCAAAGCTATTTCGATATATGAAAGAATGCCTTATATGTAATATGTATAGTTACAGATTTATAGTCAGTTCATAAAAGCATTGATTACAGAGGCCTTTATATTTAATATATTACTTAAACTATATTTTATATTATAACAAAAGTTTATATAATCTCTTTAAGTACATTAAACATGATTTCCGAACCTACATTAACTTTGACATAAATCAGCTTTTACACAAAAAATTGACCCTAATCAAACAGAAGACACAATCTTAGAGAAAAACTTCAGAAAGTTCTATGTTAAGTATATGAAAACATCAGATGTGGACAACATCTCTTGTCTCAGTGCTCTCTTCCGATTCTAGATAATCAGAGATCAGGGATCTAATCTGTTTTCATGCAAATTAGCGTTCCTCTAACTTCTCTCCTCAAACAAATCTATCTTGTAGCAATGACAAGCTATGTTTGAAAAACTTAAGCCGGAGAGTCGCAGCGAATATAATTAGTAACTTTATCTGCTTCCATGTAGATAAAAACTCCTCAAATCTGTTTTCTCAAACAATTTCATTTCATTTCGTATAAATGGCAGGCTATAATGATACTTCAGTTGGTTAATTATTTGATGTTCAATATTATTTTTCTGAACATGGACATCTTGTATAGTTGTTTAAAACACCTATTTGTATTTGTATTTTATCTTAAATTAATACTTAATATATAACTTGCAACAAATATTTTTATCTGCTCCCATGCAGATAAGACCACATTCCATATTTCTAGGAGGCCTATTTTATTTAGATAGTGGCGCCAGCCATGGTGTCTTTTCAGATAATACACCGGCAGTCTCATTTTTGCTCTACTAAGTGGATACGTCTATTAGTCGCTTAATTCATCTTATCTAGATCATACTTTAGAGTATTACTTAAAACTTACGGATATATGGTTTATAAAATAATTTATATTAAATATATTGTAATGATAAAGAAGCTATATCTTAGCAAACTAATATATTAGTTCTGATAAGGTTGGAGTTCGAACATTCAATAGCCCACTTGAGTGCTATGATACTCTAGAAGCACGGTTGCCACTTATGGTACTTTAGTACCAAAATTGGTACTTTTTTTTCGTTTGGTACTCATGTTTAAAAAATGGTACATTTTTGACGACCCAACTTTATTGTGGATATTACCAATTAATTTGTTTTATAAATGCAACTTTGCACTATTTTATATTTTGTTCATTTATAACACTATCAAAAACACAGAACGAGAAAACAAAAAGGTCCAAAAAAGGTTTTTTACAGAAATGGTACATTTTTAAACCAATTTTGGTACAGGAAAAATTTTTCAAGTGGCAACCGTGTCTAAAAGTCACTAGTACCGCCAAATGTATAAGGTCAGTTGTTGTATTTAAAATAATATATTAAAAAAATAGCATTTCATTCCCTTTTTTTAATATTCGTTTTTAGACACGAATGCAAGTTACAAATCTTGACTGTTTTTTACTCCTGCTAAACCCACATTCCACATACTCCTACTCATTGCTTATTTAAATGTTTTTACTATATATATGAGTATATTTCACTTTAGGTTATGAAGAACATGAGGAAAATTTAGTTATTGTAGTTCTTTTCTTTACTCCGATATTAAAATAATTTAGTCATTATATCAATTTTAAGTAATATTGCGAATATTTGAGAATCATCTTAATTTCTATTCAGAATGTATAAAGAGCACAATGTTTAACATGACACATTTATGTAGCAATGTATTTCAGTGGTACCTTTTGCACAAATTGGGTAGATAGTAGTTAATAACAGTTTTCATTATTAATCGAAGAAGAATTAGAAACAAAATAACATAAAGGCAATATTTACTCTAATATTAAAATAACATAGTTGTGTATCAATTTGAGCCAATATAAATTAAGCAATTTTTAAAGTATTTGAGAATTATAAAATTTAAGAATTTTATAAAATCATTGCACAAATCGTGTGGATAGCACTTAATACTAGTTGTTATTTTTAAAAGATGAAAAAGCCGACGAAATTGATTAATGTAAAGGAAATATTTAGTTGAATATTAAAATAATTTAATTGTGTATCACTTAGAACCAATATTGAAAGTGTTTGAGAATAATAAAATTTAAGAATTTTACAAAATAAATCATATAACAAATTTACCTAACATACTACTTTGGTACCCTCTGCACAAATCGTGTAGATAGTAGTTAATGATAGCTTTTATTTTTAAAAGACGAAGAAGGGAAAGAAATCGATTAATGTAAAGGAAATATTTACTTCAATATTAAAATAATTTATTTCAGTATCAATTGCGACCCCTATACATTAAGCAATATTGAAAGTATTTAAGAATTATAAATTGAAAACTCACGGATTATGCATTATGATTAATATGACAAATTTATGTATCAACATATTACAGTTTAACCTTGTGTATAAATTCTGTAAGCCGTTAATAACAGTTTTCGTTATTAAACCATACAAAACATTCAGCCACAGCAAAATAATCACTCGACTAAGAATTATTGAAAGTATTTGAGAATTATAAATTCAAGTCATGCATAATAATTCGTATGCATTTTATTTTAACAGATATGTTGTAGTATTTAGTAATTATATTGTATAATATGAAGAATTTATATATCAATATATTGCAGCGGGGATCTTCGGAATAAAAATGAATGGTTTGCGAGGAAATGTAATATAGCGAAACTTTTGTTATATTTTTTTATTTCAATAATTTAAAGTTACACATAATAAAATATATTACAGCTATACGGAAACTATGAACCGAAGTAACATAATTATAATATAATAAATTACAAAAATTTACATGAATCCATACAAGCAATCTGAATGAAGTGCTTATATATTTATCAATAAGTTTTAGTCCTTTTAAAAAAGAGTGGAAGTTAATTTATATTTATTTTTTTATGTTTAAAAAAATTATAATGTATTAGTATACTTAAGACATTATATATTAATAAACTTCTTCACATCTTGTATTTTTCCTTAGTATTATTAACTTGAATATGAATGCGCGCACCTTTATGTATTTAATTATAAACGTGGGGTGTACTAAATTAATTAAAACATTTTTTAAATTCGTCTATAAAACATACTTAATGTAGTCAATTATGCTGAGGATTTATTATCTTAGTCTAAAGATGCGGAAGTTATGGCTCCTAGATTATGTGTTAAATTAGACTTATTATAGTACTGCAGTCACAAATCACTCTTTCAATCGATCTTATTCTAACTTTCATTTTGAAATTTAAATTCAATTTGGGATTGCTCAACTCATACCTGAAACTCTTTACTCATCTAAATATGTGGATCTTTGACAATAATGGGTTCAAGTTTTACAACTGAGATTTCTAAATGGTTAATAAAAATTTTTTTACTTCGAAAGTTACAAATTTTTTTTTCTTCAGTAAACTCACTTCAAATAAATAGATAAATATAATTTCCATGATGTGGCAAGTATATAAATATTGTTTTAACCACTGAAAATAATAGTTTTTGAACTTTAATCTGTTGTTGCAAGAGATCAGATGTCTAGGAGTAAAACTAGTTTCAAATTGAACTATTGAACTTAACAATAGACTCAATATTACTTAAAACCGTTAAAAAATCAAACAAAAGAATTGAATAACAATTCTTAGATTTTTTTTCGTACAGTTTTACTTAAATTTACTCATTTAACCAGCCTTAAGGAAGAATAATGTTGAAGATAATGTCTTTTACTGTTAACAAATATTCGAGATGTTTTGTTTATTAAAGTCTTAAAACACTATATTATAATGCTTTGCTACTCCTTTTATTTGTTTTTAATGCTGTTAACTTGCACTTAGAGCTCTAATTGTTTTACTATATGCATAGAATGTTCTAAAAATGTTAATTATAATTCTTTACAATGAATTGAACTCATTAATAATGTCTTTCTTTCACTAAGTAGTGAACAGTAAATAAATTTATTTATTTTGTAGGATGAATTTATTACTTTCGATAAATATTCTGCTATAAATTTATAAAAAATCGTATCTTTAACATTTTTTTTATATATTAAATTTCTTGAAAGTTTTTATACCAATGTTTTTTTTATTAATTTTTATTTTTAATATATTATATATTTCTATTAAACAGACTTAAGTGCAGCACGCAAATTTATTGCGAATTGTTAATAAAA